TGTCTCAGTGGACATATTTAAGCTTTTGTGTCCCCATCCCAACACCCCACCCCTCCTCCAAAAATCTGCAATGCTGAAGTCTTTCCAACAGCCTGTTTCAGCTGAATCCCTCGCCTCGTTTTTCTCTTTCCTGGGATGGCGTTGCACGGCGGGAGCCATTTTGGGCTTTCTTGGCTCCGGAGAGGTTGTTTTGGCTTGCAGTCCCGTGCACTGTGTGCCTCTCAGGGCTTCAGTTTGGTTAAATTAAACAGTTTTCCTTTCTCCTCTAACCCCTTCCACCCACCCCCTCCAACTGCTCGTCTCTTATTTTGCAGCTTAATGCTCCTCGGCTCCCGGGCGATCTTGCGGAGGCTGCTTTTCCAGGCCTTCTCCTGCTCAGATAATTTTACCCTTTTAAGGCTCATATTTTCTCATATTTCGATGAACTGACAAGAGCCAGGACCACGTCTGCAACCCCCCGCTCCTCTAAGCTGAGGTGGAGCAAAAGTATACAGAGAGTAGTCAAGTGTTTACAGGGGCTATAAATACAGCATTTTAAGATATAGCATATGTATACAGGCAGGGAGCGATATGAGGGTTAGAGTGGATAATTTGATTGGCTAAGGCTATTTGACGGTGCCAAATCGATGTGATCAGATCTTAGGGATAGCGAGGCGATGACGGCAAACAGGGCACTCTGAAACCACAGGTTTACAAGGCTGGAAAAAATCCGGGAAGCAAGGGGGAAAGGTTTCACCCTGATCTCTCCATCTACTCTTCCCTCTCCTCCTCTCTGTGTCAGTGAGAGAGCTAATATATCCTGATGCTGATTTGGCATCATATTTCATTATATTTCAACGTGTGTGTGTGTGTGTGTGTGTGCTTCACCACACTTAGGGGCATGTGAGCAGGTTGATAGATGTTAAACTGGAGGCGCCTCAGGGCTTTAAAATGTAGAATCGGGGAAACCCAGCGCCGTGTACATGTGTGTAGAAGGTCATGTGCTTGGAGGACTGCAGGCTTTGGGTGTGTGTGTGTGTGTGTGTGTGTGTGTGTGTTTTTATGTGTTTATTAGCTCAACAGTGAAGCTGTGAGGAGCAGTGAGCTCCAGGGGTGACTGGGTAGCTGCCACCAAAACACCCCAGACGCCAATCCCATGAATCTTCATCACCTGCCACTTTAAATTGAAAGGAATAATATTGTAGAATCTAAAGCATCCGGTTGATGCTTAATCGAATGAAAAGTTTTTTAAGTTACAGAAATCCAAGCTTTGCTGCGTCCTTAACAAACAAACACACACACACACACACACACACAAACAGCAGGGTGCTGCAGTTCCCTAATTGGTGACCTCAAAATTTAAGGATGTCAGACAAACTGTTTTCCATCAGGAGCTGCATTTACCACCTGAGCGTCACAGTGAAAGTTACTTTTAGCGGATAGCTTACATGTAGCATGTTGCTCGTCATTTCTTTTTTTGAATTTTGCCATAAACTAAACTTATACTGTATTTAGTAGCAGATCACATTTAATAGATTTTCCTCCAGATCTGACGTCTACATATATATTATCATTGAAACTGGACGCTAATCATTAATCGGCTTCCTGTAGCGAGAACGAACGAGAATTCGTTTTTTATTAGAAAGTGAGGTTTGTGTTCACTTTCGTGTGACAGTGTTCAAAGTGTTACTATTCAAACTTTTAAATCTTTTAGAGGAAGTAAGGAGAGAGGACGCACGTACGTCCTTTCACCTTAACTAGTGTCCGCGCATAAAGGGGCGCACAAACCGTGGATGTCGTACGCCTCTACCAACAACAACAACAACGAAAACCAACACAGATGCCCAGACAGACTATCCCCTCGGGTACATTTACATCCACAACAACAGCCCCTGTTGCCCCTCTGCACTGCCTTTCCCACCCCCTCAGGTGCTCTTACAGTTCCCTCTGGAGGAAGGGGGTGGTTTTTTTTTTGTAGAATGCCCCCCGGCTGTGCCCCCATCTATCCCTACCTCCCCCAAGCCCTCTGCGGAGCCTCTTTATGCCCCCCCCCTCCCCTCCCTCCCTTCTCAGCTCCCCCATGGGGCAGGTGACAGCCCTCCACTGTGAAGGGCCGAGGGAGCCATGACGGATTCCACAGATGGAGCGTGGAAATCGCCGGCAAAGACCTCAGCTCTGTGGAGCAACAAAGAGCCGAGAGTCAGAGAGAGAAATATGGGTGGAAAAGAGAGAGAGATGGGGAGAAGGGAGACAAAGAGAGGCTGCAAGAGAGAGAGAGAGAGGGTGAGGAGGAGGGAGAATGAGAGAGAGAAGAGGGAGGAGAAGGTGGTGCTTGTTTAAGGAGGGTGGTGTGCCGAAGCGCAAAAAAAAAAAAGTGTGTTTGTTGGGGCGAAGTAGGAGTTTGAAGTGAAAAATGTGCAAGTCTGACGTTTTATAAACGCTGGTAGCCATTTTTCTATCACCTCCCGCTTCACACGTCAGCTGCGCGACGAGCATTTACTTTCATGGGATCATCGTATCG